ACTGTTCACTGGGGGGTTAAGCAGTAACAACAACCAGGGACAGAGAATGGTGAAGCAAAGGACCAAGCAACTTGCCTAGAAATCTTCTATAAAACCTGCAGCTGGAGCTGTTCTACAGAAGATCTGGGATAAATACAGAAAAATTTTAAATACAGAAGGAGAATCACCTCTGTACAGAGCTCCATATAGCTATAATCACAGGATATCACTTGAATAACAATGCACATTTTAAACTACGGAAAAATTATTATGCAATACCTTTGTGCAATGCACAATTATATATTAATGCATTATTAAGCCTTTTCCAGTGCTCAGTGACCATGTCTACATTAGCAAGTACTGTGGCAAAACAGGAATACATTTGTAGATACTTTAGTGGTGGATACTGGGGACCCAACGTCCGCACTAGATGTATTTCAGGGATCAGTTCCTTTTTCAGCAAATGTAAGAGAGCAACAGGCTACCTGCCTTCATTACCTTTATGGCTAGAGTGCTTCAGGGATCAACAGAAGGGTCAGTCATACCATGACCATGAATCTGAGTTTATTTTAACACTATTAATAGATGTAAAGTCATTTACTTAGTTACAGTGAGTTATTGTACAGCATACATTTCCTTTATGAGAGTATGTGAAGAATGGTAGTATATATATCCCATTTTTCTCCTTGTTTGAAAGTAGACATGCCAAACTAGACATATTCATTAAGACATATTTTCACGCTCATTGGTTTTTCAAGGACTTAGAGTGTTTGCAGCAACAAATTTCACCCTACACAGTCCATTTCCTAGGTTCTATTTGTTCTAAATAAAAGGCACTTTTGAATGTCCTGAGTACAATAAACAAAAGTGGCAGATTACTAAACAAACCAAAAAGCAACCCCAAACCCGGAAGGAAGAGTCCCACGAAAGATGAGGGGTGCAGATAAAGGAAAGCTAGACTTCAATTTATAAGACTGTGAAATCCCAGAAATTTAAGAAACAAACACCGTAGAAAACAGAAATGTTGATATAAATGGTACTTCATTTTTGAACATTCCACCTGCTTTCTCAATCCCTGTCTTCGAGGTCCCTGAAACTAGGGTGCGGCATGCGTTTTCCCCTCTCAGTCTGGCATTCACCGGACCATGAAGCTGCTTTTGCACTGGCCAGTCCTGAACACTGGTTAACTAGTGCATGTGGGATACAATTCCAACGCTTCCAAACTCCGAACACACTCCTCTAGCTTAATGGGAAACACTCAGCTTCTGACAGCCCCAAAGGTATTCCAGGTAGAAGACTTTAATGTTTGGCTTTGTGACCCTTGGGAAGAAAAACTTCGAATTCATTTGAGTTTTTCTTAAGCACTATGAAGTAACCATCTTTTAGAACAGGAAACACTCCCTAGGAAGGCAAAAGGTTAAGTCCTTAATCACCAAATGGAAAGTCAAACTACAGAGAAACCATAAAAGGAACATAAAAAGTTAGACTATACTAATAATATGACCAAAAAAAAAAAAAAGCAGCTATAACTGGCTATGTTATGTATCAGGAATGAAACCTTAACGAACCACTTTCAGAGCATGGCTCTAGAGACTTACATGTCCTCCCTCCTCTGTATTTGAGCTCTAAAGTACCAGTTGCAAATAAAGCAACCAACTTCCATCCTTGGAAACTTTTTTTGGAATTACAATATTTTAGTCCCTAAGTGGCACATTGTAATAACCCTACTAAACTAGGAGAAGAGAGGAATATTTTCAGGATTGTCATACTATTTTATAAGATGTTTATAATAAATGTTTGTTATATATCGATTTTACCCGATAATCTCCAGCTTGCTATCAATTCTTCAGAAAGACCACAAATGCTACACACATAGAAAAATCTGGCTTGCAGCAGAAACCTGTTTTTCCTGTCCTTTGCCTTTCACTTGGCATCTCCAGATTCATGGATTTGTGCTGCCACAACACTGCACCTGTAGACTACAAAATTCCTATTCTCCAGCAACACAATGGGACTTGGAGATCTTTTCTTCTCCTTTCATGGGCCCTGCTCATTTCCGAAGGTCCTAAACATCAAACAGCTATAACCACTGCTTCTGCTAGGCTCTGCTATGTAGTCAACTTCCAGAGAGTCCAGTTCAAGAGAACATCTTTATTCAAAAAAGTGCCTGAATATATCCATCATTTTGCATGAGTTATGTCCTGAATCACAGAGCCAAAACAGAGCTGCGAAGAAAGACAGCGAACATCCTGGAGTCTTTAGTAGCTGCACTGCTCCAGCTTTTGGACCAGAGAAATAGCATCTCTAAAGAGAATCTGGCCATTATCATCTTTCCTACATATAGGAGGGGGTCCACCCTGGCTACTGCAAAGATGTGATAAACTGATTTACAATGCATTTTCTATAGCTGGTCATGAAGGCCTAAACTTCATGTTCCACTCAAGTTGTTTTTAAAACAGCCTATGTATTAGGGCCAATGGGAGATCCAGGATGGTGCTGCTGTGAGGTTACAGAACTCCCAATAACTCCAAAGGAAAAATATGAATGAAAAGTCTCATTACCTTAAATTGTCAAGAAAAGCCAGTGGAACTAAGCTATGCCCCACACAGGTTGATTTTATTATTTTCTATTGATTACTGTATAGATTGGATAATACAGAAAACATTTAAAGCTTTTTAAACAGTGTGCAGAAATTTCTGCATACTTTCCCTTTTGTCCTTGATTGTTTTTTATTTGGGTTTGGTTTTGTGCTTTGTTGGTTTTGGTGTTTTTTGGGGTGGTGGTTGTGTTTGTTTTGGTTTGGTTTTTTAGAGCTTGATAGAAAGTAAAGTCATCATCATAAAGAAGAACAGAAAACAATGTGAAGTGAAAATTAAAGATACGTTCAGCATTGTTAGCCTTTCAGCAAGAGAAATCTTCCACATTTGCATGGCAAGCCCAAGCAAAACCCTTTCATGAGAAACAGTATCTGTGACAGAGGGATGTTGTAATTTTGTAGTGTCATCGAGTATGAGTGGCAGGTAGTACTCATTCTCCGGATTTTCTTCAGCAAGAACTGCAACACACACAGAAGGGTTTCAAAAATCATTATGCTCTCCAGCACTACCGATTAAACTCCCAAGCTGCAGAAGACTTTGCAACATATGGATTCTTTTGCTGTGAATACCTGTTGCACTCTTCACCTCCTCTACAAAGCTGGGCATCAAGGTTTTTTGTAAAATGCTTATGTGTTGTAGTAGGGATTTACAACAGAATCCAATAATGTGTAAAACCACAACTGTGCTATCTTACTGACCTGGGAAGACTTGAGAAAAAGAGGGCTACAATAGAATACAAAACCTGAATTCGGTAAACTCAATAAGACAATGTACTTTTGAGGTTAAGCCACTATAATGCCATTAATCTCTCCGGAAAAATACCATTCTCAGTATGTACATGGGCAAGCATTTATTTTTTTCCTGAATGTTTCCATATATGAGCATTAGACAGGGAGCTCTGACCCATTTTGCTTCAAAAGAGCTTGGAACTCAACTGAATGGAGACATTGCATGGACGTCTACTGGTAAGCCATGGAAAGATCAGCTACACAAGCTTTCCTGTATTTGAGACTTCTTCCACTTCACCTGCTAAAATAATTAGAGGAAGGACCAATTTGCATCATGCCCGAGTGAACTGCTACAAGTATGGCCAGATGGGGATTACAGGGGGCAAAACCGAATCATAAAATCAACATACAATTAAAAAAATAATTTACCATCTAGCCATTTTCATGTTTATGCAAGAGGAAACATAATTAGTACTGTGCAAACTGAGAAGCTTAAAAAACAACAAACACAAACCACATCTCTCAGAAAGCATTATTATTTTTTGACTCATGCTGTAGAGACACCATTGTCTCTACAGATGGATTTTATATTGCTTTGCTTTTGTTATTGTGTAAGATAACAACCCAAAATCTGAAAGCTGTTTTGTTTCTCTGAGAGAAAGCTCCTCAGAACTGAAAAATAAATAGGACTGTTGCTTTGGAAGCAGAACATAAAGTGTTAAGCGTAGCTTATTCCAAGTTGTATTTTATTGAAAAATAGGATGCAGATTTTATTAATGAGAAAACTCAAAACCTAATACTTAAAAAAAAAAAAAGTAAAAATAAAATAATTAGAAAATTAACACTTGCTATCTATGTATAAACACAAAATCAATTCAGTCAGTGTGTTTATGTAGAACCACTAAGATAAAACAGCAGAATAGCATAATTCCCACAAACTATCATAGGTGGAGACATCCTGCACCAATCAATCACAACATAACATTATGGTCAACTTCTCCTCTCCCTACACTACTCGAAACTGAGATCAGGTTTAAAGACAGAACTAGTGCTCTCTTGGATTTACATTATGTCCATATGAGGGCAACCTGGCAGTTAATGGTTTTTAAACAAGCAATCAGAGGTTGCTTCTCTTCTCCTTAGAGGGAGAACATCCCAAGATTTCATTTAGATAGATATGATCCATGTTATTCTTCTTTTGAAGATCAACAACTAAATAGTATAGGAAAATTCTTTTAATGACCAACCTGGAATTTTTTCCTATTTCTTATTTCTCTAGGACATTTTCCCCATCATATCTGTTTATCACTTTCCATAAACACCAGGCAAAAATCTCACACGCAGAGATGTTTACCCAAACTTTTAAGAAATAATTAATTATTTTTTTTTTAATACTACTTCATTTTCCAGTTCTCCAGAAAGAACTGCTACAACATGGGACTTCCCATAACTGCTTTCCAGCAGAGAGATAAACATCCTCAAGAGACAATCTTCAAAAGTCAGACAGGACAGGCTGCAGCCCCAGAACAGGAGAAAAAGCTGGCTTCCTTGTGCTGACAGGATCACAAATACAAAGACTATGAGGTTCTCTTCCCATCAACGCTTGAATACACTGAAGTAAATGTCTTCATTTTTTACTTGCTCCCAGTCAAATATAACAAATCAAATAAATAAATTAGATAGAATGAATTTTTACCTCAATCTGGGTGGTGTTGTCTTGTCCCTCTTCAAGCAGCAGGTCTGTGAAACCCCCAGGCTCAGAAGAATCCTGCCCCATGCTAGCTCTGTTGGTGTCAACTGATTTGAGAGACTCTGAGTGCCTTCTCCACCTGTGGCTGTTTACATGTGAATCCACTCGCACGTTTTCCTCCACTCGAGGGAAGCTCTGAACTACTTCATAAAACACACCTGTTTGGAGGAAAAAAAAAAAAAAAGGTTTACTAACGATAACTGAAAACCTACAAATAGTAATTTTCAACCACTCTATAATGTAGCCAATAATATCTCTGATAAAGCTACTACATCAGCATAAGAGCTTAAAAGAAGGGATAGCATATTATACTTCTACAAAAATCAAGAATTTGGACTAAGTTTTGTAGACTTCTCTAAACATGCCAAATGCTTTATTTTCCTGCTTATTTTGTATCTGGGAAAAGTTTTCACTGTAACTTTTGTAACTTTGATACTTCCTTCCCATAGGTGTCGCTTTTCAAAATAAATCTAAGGAAAAAACCACAACAGTTAATCATCTAACAAAAGAAAAGTAGAAGAGGCAGAAAAACACTGTTATGTACTTAGTGTTTGCTGCTGATTTTATGTAGAAAGAGCTTGGAAGTAGTGGTGAAAGGTGGCCAAATAAACATTATGAGAGGGATGAAATTCCAGTGTAAAAATAAAACTGCCCCACTGTATAAATGATAAATACAAATGAAGTATGAAGTCTGCAGACACCCACTATGTCCCCTGGAAAGGGTGAGCAGTTGGGTGGTGTGTTTTCAGACTTTATTCATGCTCATTCACAATTTTTTCATGCTAGTAAAACTATCACCAAGGCAAAACCATAAATTCTGCAGCAGTTTCCAGTTTGCTCAATTCAAAAGCCAATGAAACTATTTTTTGTTAATTTATTTCAGCTAACACCATCAAAAAGGGTACTTTTGTACTTTGCACTAAATATAGGAGAATCTGCAAACATTGTTCTTGACAGACCAGAAAGAGTCACAGTACAGAAACAGTTTCTAATGTGATTGAGGCTCTATGTGATTCCATTTTTCTACCAAATTCCCTCAAATCTACTGAACTTATTTCCTAAGCTATCTGATCACTCTCAATCACACTGAAATTAATGTGACCTGAAGGTGCTCTCTCACCTAGAGAAATCAGAATAACTGCAAAATAAGCAATCTCAGGCCATAGCTTTCCTCAGACCCCACATAATCAAACTTCTTTTCTTTTAATTGGTGGCTTTTTGAAACCTGCTTCCTTGCATTTCTTAAAAGCCTTAGAACACTTGTCTTCAACAAATTGCCACCGTGCTCCCTGTTTTATCAGGCAATCAGCTGCCAGATGTAGAGGGACAGCTCGGCAGATTAACTGACATTCCTCCCTGGTCCTTATCAAAATCTATTCAAAGTTGCCCTCTCTGCTTCAGCTTGGAGGCACTCACCATGGCGTTATGGGGATAAGGGCATCAGAAAGCTGACAGACGCGGGAAACTTCTCAGATACAATGTCAGATAGGCACTTTCTGCCTGTGATTCGCAACAGCTGAGGCTGGATCCATGGAGGCAACATTTGTCCTCCCGCCCCGGCCGGCTCTGCAGCCCTAAGACACCTCGGCGCCCACTGCGAGGCACGGGGAGCATCAGACACCTGCAAACAAGGGTCACAGCACAACAGCTATGTCTCTGCAGGATCCTGCTCCCTTCTTCTCAAGCATCTTCCTTGGCTGCCGTTGGTCACTCAAAACGCACATTCAGAGAGGCAAAAAGCACATTTACCCTCATTTTACAGCCTACTCTTTTTATGGTCGACAGTCAACACGAGGCAATCACCGAAATTAGCAAATAGAAAATGCAAAAGTTAGGGGAAGAAGGTTAGGCTGAGCCTCATCTGTTAAGGAAAGGAATTATACTTCATTGTCCTACATCCTGAACAGAAATTAATGTGATTTCTAAGCTTTAAGGTGTAACATAAACTTCTTTTAAAAATAATAATAAAAATATTAATAGTAGAGTGCTGGAGGGAAGGAGGAGATAAGCACGTTCAGGTATTTCCACTCTCTTGGAAATTCTATGCATTTTTCTCCATAATTTTCTTTTATAGCATAATTGCATCATGGCATCTGCAAAATTTGGCATGGACCATTCCCTGTTAGAGAAATCTTTGATGTTGTCAGTGCACAACTTTTATCCTGTTTCAACTGTGTTAATTATGTTATTTTTCTCTTGAAACATAGAAAATGTTCTAAACAATATTGTTACTGCCATTACACTGATAAATAATATTTTACAGGTACAACCTACACTGACATAAAGAAAGATTTATAATAATCTAACTGTATTCAGAATGCATTATATCCTTCTACATTCAATAGCAGCAAGAATTAAATGAGTGAAGTCATAATGTTTTCCATTTAAAATCAGTCTTTGTTGTTTTGTTGTTGTGGGGTTTTTTTATTATTATTATCTGTGAAAGCTCCTAACAATGTTATCACTAGATTAGTTAACTGTCCTGGACTGGCAGAGTGGGGATACTGAAACTACAGTGTGAGATAAAATCTGAATGTGTTTTCAGGGAATAAAAAAAGAAATTTATTGTAGGCTTCCTCCTTCCTTAAACCTTTTCCTTAAGCTACTGAGGATGGAGAGCGAGCAATGATGGGCTTGGCCAGACCAGCTCTGATCCAGCATAGTGTCTCTGGCGTATCCCAACAGATCTCTAATGTTGAGAAAGTGACAAACAGATTTTTTTTTTAAATGAGCTGAACAGTGCATTTTCCTTTTACATAAATACAATTGAAACATATAAATACTCAGATAATGGATAGATAAATTATTTTTTAAGTTCTAAATGCAGGCAGCTCATGAAGAAAAAGCATTGAGAGACCTAAAATTCAGTACTCTACAAGTTATAACTATTTCATGTTTCTGGCTGAAATGTCTGTGTAGTTAATAAAAGCACATAAAAGGTATTTTAGAGGAAATGTCCCAAAGTATCTTTTAGATACTTGTATCTTTTAGATCTTGGAGCTCTCACCTAATTAACACTGAAGAAGAATATGTCATTCAAATCAATTGGAAAGCAACCAAATGCTGTAATATCTGGTTAATAATAACATCATAATATTAGCAAACATGTATGAGTAGTAACTCGTTCAACCTGTATGAGCTGAGACTCAGAACTGCAACAAGCTTCCAAATCAGTTAAAATTGGAACTACAGTTTTCAACTGATATTTCCATGTGCAAACCACAAGAGTGTTTGAGTTCTGTCGCTAGTGTGCAAATACCTCAGAGTGAAGGTCTGTAGAGCGATATTGTACTGTAATATTTTGGAAGCAGTGAAAATAGACTACAGGACTTACCAATGAATATGTAATTAAGCTGGTGTTTTGGTCTGATCTTTCGGCTTTTGTCTTTGAAATTTTCATAAAATTAGCAATGAAAATCATTATCTCTGCAGCTCTTTTCCCCCTTAGGTTAAGTTAAAATTTATGATTTCAATTCTGTGTTGAATAAAGCTAGAAAGGCAGTGGGGTGGCGGTGACAGAAACAAACGTATGAAAAATTTCCACTGCTCTGAGATGATTTGGAGTTAATGACTGACTGTTGGAAAGTTCAGAAACTCTTCTCACAGTTGGTCAGTTCAGCCCTTTGTAGTCTATGTGATTTGATCACAATTACCACCAAAGGGGTATCATTCACACAACCTGGAAGGACCTATGCGGAATATTTAGAGAAGAAACTGGGGAATGGGAATGGGTGAAAATTACAGACAGACTCACTTTTGCTTACACCTAAGACAGGTGCTTCAAATTTCCTTCTGTACAGATTTACATGCTCACAGGAAAAAGACATTGGAAAGATTTTGGCACCTATTGCCTAAAGCACCATGTACCCAGACAATAGCTTTCTGACTACCTTAGCTTGCATTTTAACAATTATTAACCAAGCTTTTAAACTGTATTAAGCTACCCTGATGGAGGACACATGACCGAAATGTAGATCTTCCTGTACATCAGGACCTGGCTTTTGAAGTGGCTCTGCTAGCCTGAGATTTTTGGCAGGAAGATGTCTGTCCTGTACTACAAAAATACACCGAACTGCTTAACACCTGTATCATCAACATAAATCAATGCTGAAAGTGGACAACAACTGAATATGTCGAGAAGTTTGTCTACTTCAATATTGTGAATTATGCAAGCATCTCTTACAGATTGGAAGTGCAGATTGGACTGTACAAGAAAGATTTGCAGAAAGGGAAGAGGCTGCCTGACTACAGCAAGGGCACAGGTTCTCTGCTTTGTCAAGTCTGCCCTCAAGCAAAAAGGGGAAAACTCTAAGTAAATAAAACCAAAATGAAACAGCAGAGTTTGAGAAGTAAGGCAGCTCTGATTTAGCAGGCAAGTCTGGTCTGCCTAACACTTTGTTTAGAATGAAGATCTAGCTCTCACACTACAAGAAAAAGAAACATCCAAAATTTTATGGACAGCAATGTAATTAAAGAGGAAAAAAACCCTACTTTGAAACAAAAAAGACAAATAGGCAAATCATCTATCACTCAATTCAACTGGTTTAGGATTTTTTTCCCCCTTTCCATGAGGTCAAACAGAGCTTTGTGGAATGTTTCAGCACATCAGAATTTCAGAACTGCATTTCTGAAAAACCTGTGTTAATTACATTTCACGATTGCACATATTTAGGCCAACTCTGCAATTCGACTAATTTCATAAATGCACCATAATCAACAAGACTTTTTAATGAAATCTCAGAAACACTCATATATTGAAACCTCTATTCAACAGATTGCTTGTGAGAGATAGTATCATCTTTCTAAACCTGCCACAGCCCAAACGCCAGCAAAATAAAGTTTATTCATCAAAGAACTGAAAATGCCATCATACTCCTTTAACTTAAGCAACTTTCTACAGCCCATCTCATGAATCTCTATTTCTACTGTGACCATTTTATTAGTAAAGATGAGAAACAAACAAATGTTGGTGGAAGATATGAATACTGAACCCATGAAGTGATAGACTCTTCAAAACATAAATGTTCCTTTAAAGGATTCTCCAAGTAGAGTGCTCATATACTGAATGCCCAATATCACAGCAAAATCAATCATACTCTTTGTAAGAAGAAGAATTTCCAGTTTAAATTGTCTCTATGAACAGCTCAACACTACAGAGACCAGACCCAATTCTGATCTTTCTGATCTTAATTTAGGAAAGATAACAGATATGTTTGACTTTCAATATGTCCATGAAAATGATAGAATAAATTTCTTAACAAACTCATAAATAACATCATTTGTAAAAACTATCCCACAGTGACAATCAGCACACAAACAGCTGTGTCAATTTCAGTTCTGATTTTTAAAACAACAAAAGACTACACCCTGACATTTTCTTCTTAAAGCTTGGTCGAAACTGCTAGAAGAATTTTAATATTAGGTGTGAGAATGGTGCTTAGGATGATCCTATTTTCACCAAACAAGGGATGATAATTTGTGTGGCCTGTAAAGGGAGTCAGCGGTTAACGATAATAAAATACTGGATAATGGCAGACTATGATCACAGTACTGAAACTCCTGCTGTTGAATTGTATGCTCAGAACAACAAATAATGTCTAAAATAATAACACCATCTTGATGCATGTTTTTCTTGCAATTATACAATAAATAGCTACTAAGACTCGTGTCTAATACAGAGATAGTATAAATCATAATAGGTACTATGGCAGAGAAATAATATAACTGGTAATTTCCTTACACATTATGAATTCAGACTTTTCCCTTCACAACCTCTTCTATTCAATAATTAATTTTTGCCACTACAAGTGGTCCCAAAGAGCATATTACAACACTTCTAGAACTTTATCTTCATCACAAATATAACTGCTGCAGGTTTCTTGGTGTTTTGTGGGTTTTTTTTTAAATTGTTCGATTTACTTTCATTTTGCAATTATTTACATAATCATATTGGTAAATTAAAATGGTATTGGTAAAGTCAGGAGCCTGAGTCCACTGGTAACAGTACTGTAACTTTGATTAGCGTACATCAACACTGAGGAAATATTGTCTAATTCCAGCTTCATTCATACTCTCCAGCTACATAAACACAATAATTTAACATGCATGTTATATTTATGAGCAACCTGATTATAGCTTTATAACATATTATATGTATTATGTATTTGTTTTGCTGCTCTTCCTGTCAATTCCACTTGGCGACCAGGATGTAAGTTTATTGCTAACTGGATACACACAGAATGGAAAAAGACAACTCAAGCCTCAAAGAAAGCTTGAAGTCTTGAAGATAATAAGCTGGGTAATACGAGAAGGGAGAGAGACTTTGGGCCAGTAAACAGAGATATCAGTCATCATTAAAAGCGCAACCAGTATCAAGGTTTTGAAGCCATAATAGTAAGAACAAGATTTAAAAAGGAAAAAAAAAAAAAGAGGTGCTATCATTTGATGTGCTTAATTTTTTTTATGCACACAATCTAGATGGATTTAAGTTGCTTTCACAACTAAGGTTTAAGCAGTTACAAGAGTCTAGGGAACACTGATGGTAACAGAAGTGGAAGGCGTGTAACATTTCATACCTACTAGACTCTTACATGTCTCATGCACATCTACATCCCACAGGCACAGACCTTTTGTATTATTTTTGGAACAGGAAAACCACGATTATGTCTGTGCTAACTATGCAGAGTATAATCATTTATCACAATCCTCCACTTTCTGAGACAGGGAGACAAAATCTCTTTGAATGGAAACCACAGACAATGAAGATGGAATTGATTCTGGTTTACACTTTCCTTACAAAAGAAGCAGCTCTAATATGCTTAGATACCTGGTGATGGAAAATTCAATTTGAGTACTACTCATCCCCATTAAAAAAACAAAACAAAAAACCAAACAGAAAAGCCAGAATTGTGTATTTCTGATTTAATTTAAAACTCCACAGATGTACTGTTACTGGTATGATATTTTTCAGAGCTTTCAGGTGGATCAGGTCAGAGAGCTGAACCTGATGGAACATGTGAAAAAATTCAAAATCATGCTATTAGTGCCTATCTAAACTGAGTACACAATGCACAACTGAAATAGTTTCTCCAGTGGAAAAACGGAAAAGTAGAGTTTTCTTTCACCTTAAGTCTTGCTTGTCTCAGCTGCTGTAACTTCAGTATAGCTTCTCTTCACATAGGTTTAATCTTTGCTATACATATAATCATTTATTAACACAGACCTTCAACCTTTTTTTTCAGCTGGAGATCCCTAAAAGTTTCCTAGCAGGGTTGTATATTTAATCCTATTCAAAGGAATACTTCCTGGTTTTTGTTTTTCTCTCCTTCTTTCCAGTACACAATTTTGCATTTTATAAGATACACCTGACTTTCCTAATCTCACCTGACTAGCAGAAAAGAGATGATTCCTGATACATTGAACAGTGCTGGGATTCTTCCTTCTGGCCTTTTAGGTCCAGCTACCCATATTCAGCGTGATTAACATCACTTAATCTTCACACACAATACAAGTAAGTTTCATATCCACATTGGCAGTAGCACTTTCATAATTATTAGAAACGCAGAAACGCAAGTGTACCTCGGTGAATATTTATCACATGCTAAATTTCCACGTAAAGCAAAAGGAAGAATATCTGTAATGTTCTTATGTTCCCGGCACACAACTCACAATATTTGTAATTGTATTTTCTTGTGAATTATCAAACTGCAGCATAGAAAAGCAGGAAGTTAACATGTTTTAAATCATCTGAGGTTTTCTGATTAACCAGCGTAGCAATAGTGTCAAAATATTAATTCTTGTGTAATTTATGCATCTTCTGTCCGAACTTTGCTACATCACAAACCCTCGCTAAGGCACAAAATTACTTGTGTAAAAAGCAGCAAAAAATAAAGAATTCAACAAAAACTTGTACTGCTAAGAGAAATGGAGATCACTCTATAATATTCTATTTATATGCAAATTCTTGGTTTTCCAACCTAGATTCAAAGGTCTTCTAGAGAATACTAATACCAACTGTACCTTATTTAAACACATTGGACAAGTTTATAAAGCCTTTTTTCTAGTCAAGAACTGGATTACAGTATGATTGGCAACATGGGACACTAACATCTCCAATGTGTCCACCTCACACTTCTAATTTGAAAGCATCTTTCTTTTTCCTGAAGGATCCAGCAAACCTGTGCCCTAGAAAAACCGAAGATGCCAGTCCCATGGTGGGTCAGCTTCTCCTCCAGGTTCAGACTTAACCAGAATGAACAAGCAATTCATCAAGCTAGAAGACATGCACCAGTGTGCACAGATATGTAGATGATAAAAATTGAGTTAAAAAGTTAGATGGACAATTTTACAGTCACATCATTAAAATTAAATTCTGTCTCTGGGCAGCAGAGAAAAGCATACTCATTCATAATTTCAACTGCAGCATATGTTTGGAACTCCTTTTGCAGGACTTGTCGAGGGAGAAGAGAGCAAATATCTGGTATGTGCCAAACTCTGTCAGCTTGGCTAATTTATGCCCTTCCCAGCAGACAATGGCAAATGCAACTTTGGTAGAAGGGTTATCTTCATTTGCAGCCCAAGGAAAAGCTGAGGCTAAGAGAGATGCAGGCCCATTGCTTGAAAAACAGATTAGCACAGACAGTGCTAGGCTTTCTGTACCCTGCAGAGGCAAAGAACAGCAATTCCAGGGACATGGTTCTGGCCAAGACAATACCGGTTAGCTCTCCACAGGCCTGTCACTCACTGGTGCTGGAGCAGCATCAGAGGGTAATTGGCTTCCTGGGTAGCCCTGTCAGGCTGACTGTGAGTCAGGCACAGGGATCAATGTCAGCATTCACACCAAAGGCAGCTGTGCTTGACTTGGTGGCTCAAGCAGAGGGATATAGACAGGAAAACAAAGCTCATGTATCAACTCAGTGGAGCTACCCATACATATGTGTATACGCAACATCACCTCGCAGGCACAGCTTAAAATCTGAGCAACTCGGCGCAGTAGAAGCAAGAGAATAAAGGTGGCCTAGGACCTCATCGGGTACAACAAACACTGACGGACACGCAGACCAAGGCTTTCCTCTCCTTCCTTGTCAGGAA